CTCAGGTAGCTGAGGTGTGAGAATCGCTTGAACCCGGGAGGCAGAGGTTGCAGTAAGCCAAGGTGGCACCACCGTACCTCAGCCTGGGTGACAGAGGGAGACTCTGTCCCAAAAAAAAAAAAAAAGTCACTACTTCCCAAATCTGCCCATGGCTTCCCAATTTAAAATGTTTCAGAAAAATCACGTTAACTTGTTTCTCATCTGTCCGCCCCACTGGGCTGCTCACACCTGTGGCCCAGTGCCCAGACCAGTGTCTGGCATCAAGCTCTCAATGAATCTATGCTGAATAAAGGAATTAGTAGGTTCTTTGTTTTACAGATGAGGAATCTTGGATCCAGAACAGTGAAGTGATTACATGGGTATTTCTCTATTTTTTTATTATTATTATTATTTGAGACAGAGTTTCATTCTTGTTGCCCGGGCTGGAGTGCAGTGGTGCAATCTCGGCTCACTGCAACCTCCACTTCCCAGGTTCAAGCGATTCTCTTGCCTCAGCCTCCCGAGTAGCTGGGAATACAGGTGTGCACCACCATGCCTGGCTAATTTTTGGTATTTTCAGTAGAAATGGGGTTTCACCATGTTAGCCAGGCTGGTCGTGAGCTCCTGACCTCAGGTAATCCGCCTGCCTCAGCCTCCCAAAGTGCTGGGATTACAGGCGTGAGCCACCACACCTGGCCTATTATTTTTATTTTGAGGCAGGATCTCACTCTGGAGCCCAGGATGGAGTACAGTGGCACCATCTTGGCACACTGCAACCTCTGTCTCCCATGCTCAAGCAATCCTCTCCACTCAGCCTCCTGAATAGCTGGGACTACAGGTGCATGAAACCATGCCCAGCTAATTACTATTTTCTATACTTTTTGTAGAGCTGGGGTCTCACTACATTGCCCAGGCTGGTCTCAGACTCCTGGGCTCAAGCAATCATCCCACCTCAGCCACCCAAAATGCTAGGATTATGGGCATGAGCCACCATTCCTGGCCTCCCATGGATATGTCTACTAAACTACATGCCCCGAATCTAGAGCATGGATGTCCTTCTAATCCAGTGACCAGCAAACTCTCTCTGTTAAGGGCCAGAGAGCAAATAAATTTGGCTTTGAAGCCCCTAGGATCTATGTCACAGCCACTCACCTCTGCCATAGTTAGTAACAAAGATAGAGATAATATGTAAATGAATGAATGTGGCTATATTCCAATAAAACTTGATTTACGAACACCAACATTTGAATTTCATATTTTTTTTTCTTTTCTTTTTTTTTTGAGACAGGGTCTTGCTCTGTCACCCAGGCTGGAATGCAGTGGCATGATCACAGCTCACTGCAGCCTCGACCTCATGGGCTCAAGCAATCCTCCCACCTCAGCCTCCTGAGTAGCGGGATCTACAGGCACACACCATCATACCCAGCTAATTTTTTGTAGAAACGGGGTCTCGCTATGTTGCCAGGGCTGGTCTCAAACTCCTGGGCTCAAGTCATCCATCCGCCTCAGCCTCCCAAAGTGCTGGGATTACAGACGTGACCCACTGCACCTGGCTTCATATGATTTTCATGTCACAAATATCCTTTTTTTTTTCAATCATTTAAAAATATAAAAAATATTCACAATTGGCTGGGCATGGTGGCTCACGCCTGTAATCTCAGCACTTTGGGAGCCCGAGGCAGGCAGATCACAAGGTCAGGAGATTGAGACCATCCTGGCTGACACAATGAAACCCCATCTCTACTAAAAATACAAAAAAAAAAAAAAAATCAGCTGGGCGTGGTGGCAGGCACCTGCAGTCCCAGCTACTCGGGAGGCTGAGGCAGGAGAATGGCGTGAACCTGGGAGGCGGAGCTTATAGTGAGCCAAGATCGTGCCACTGTACTCCAGCCTGGGTGACAGAGTGAGACTCCATCTCAAAAAAAAAAAAAAAAATTCATAATCTGCAGGCCATACAACAGCAGGCTGTAGTTTACAACCTCCCACTCTAAATTCTTTTTTTAATAATTTTTTGTAATGTGGAGTCTCACTATGTTAACCAAGCTGGTCCCAAACTCTTGGCTCAAGTGATTCTCCCGCCTCAGCCTCCCAAAGTGCTGGGATTACAGGCATGAGCCACAACACCCGGCCTGCTGTAAATTCATACATGTATATCAGCAGATATGATAGACTGTTTTAGGAAAGTGCAATAGGGTGGCTCGTGCCAAGCCCTGTACTTAGCACCGCAGTATAAGAGTGCTCGCTATAGCCGGACTTGGTGGCTCACGCTTGTAATTTCAGTATTCGGGAGGCCGAAGTGCGCACATCACGAGGTCAGGAGTTCGAGATCAGCCTGACCGACATGGTGAAACCCCATCTCTATCAAAAACACAAAAATTAGCTGAGCAAGGTGGCGGGCGCCTGTAATCCCAGCTACTTGGGAGGCTGAGGCAGGCGAATTGCTTGAACCCGGGAGGCAGAGGTTGTGGTGAGCCGAGATTGCATCCAGCTGCACTCCAGCCTGGGCAACAGAGTGAGACTACGTCTCAAAAAATAATAATAATAAAATAAAATAAAAATAAATAAGAGTGCTCACTACACCTGACAAAGCAGGCAATGTATTACTCCCCATTAAGAAATGAGGAAAACTGGAGGTCAGAGATATGAAGCTACTCACTCAAGGTGACACAGAACTCAGTGACAGCCTTTGCATTGGGATTCAGGCAGTCTGACTTGACTCTGTATGTTTTTTTTAGAGGCAGGGTCTCCCTGTGTTGCCCAGGCTGAAGTGCAGTAGCTATTCATAGGTGCAATTATGGTACATTGCAGCCTGGAGCTCTGGGACTCAAGCAATCCTGAGTAGCCAGGACTACAGTCCCACACCACTGCACCTGGCTTTGATTATGATATACTGTAACTTTGTTACATAATAAAATGATATTAATAGCAAAGATGATATTAACAACAAGCTAAAAATAAAAGCTTATTAATATGCCAGGAGCCTTTTAAAGCACTTTATTTGTTTTTCTTTTTTTCTGAGAGTCTAGTTTTGTTGCCCAGGCTGGAGTGCAGTGGCATGATCTCAGATCTCCGCAACCTCCACCACCCGGGTTTAAGTGATTCTCTTGCCTCAGCCTCCCGAGTAGCTGGGATTAGAGGCACCCACCACCATGCCTGGCTAATTTTTGTATTTTTAGTAGAGATGGGGTTTCACCATGTTGGCCAGGCTGGTCTCAAACTCCTGGCCTCAGGTGATCTGCCCGCTCAGCCTCCCAAAATGCTGGGATTACAGGCATGAGCCACCATGCCTGGCCTAAAGCACTTTATAAACTGGTATCTATTATTCACAGCAATTCTAAGAAGTAAGAATTTTTTATATTTTTTTATTTTTATTTTTTTGAGACAGAGTCTCGC